CGTGGACCCCGCGGACCCCGCGAACCCCGCGAACCCCGCGGACCAAAAACCAGGAAAGATTTTGTCGGAAAGGGATTTTGAGGCTTTTGGAGGCTTCAAAATTGCACAAAACTATGGTATTTACAGGGTTTTGTGCACCTTCCCGGCAGAAAACGCCGGTATTTACACGGTTTTCCGCGCTTTTCCAGCACACAACCGTGGTGCGCCTCTGGATCGACGGCTACAAAACACCGTAAATACCAGTGTTTTCAGCTCCTCCTGTCTTCAAGCGTGGCCTTAGACCTTGCCGCGGCTGTGGATCGACGGCAACAAAAACTCGTAAATACCAGTGTTTTTGAGCTCGTCCTGTTTGCAAGCATGGCCTGCGGCCACGCAATTTACAGGGTCGCAGCACGTCACTATGTAAATCCGAAGTTGCATTTGAGAAATATGTGACGTGATTGTGATTAGTTTGTGCATTAGTTTTTCTTTCATCACGCTCAGTCACTTCTCTTCAAACAAGTGGGGGGCCTCTCACCTCCTCCCGGATTACGCCTGATTCCCTGCTACCTTTCGTTCACCCCCCTCCTCTCTCAAGTATACATACACATACATACATACATACATACATACATGCATACATACATACATGCATACATACACACACACATACATACATACATACATACATACATACATACATACATACATACACATATTCATGTTCATATTCATATTCATATTCATATTATGATCAATATGGATCCTCTCCTTGGATCACTCCCGGCGAAGCCTTCGCTTTCTCGAGGCGTGGAGCTCCAGCGGTTCTTGGTCTCCAAGGTCCGGTCGATCCAGGCAACGCCCGGTCGGGGCCCGAATTGGAGAACTGTTGTATCAGGAAGGACTTGGTAGCCTGAACAGCCTACCCTGCTGGTGCCGGCCCGGGTGCTGGTGCCCGCCGGGATTTTTCCACGACTTGTAGCGCCTTCACCAGCCTGGCCGAGTTGGGATTCGACTCATCTTTCACCTACTTATTTCTCAAATGGTCTGTATAACCTAAACTACCCCACAGTCGCAGTGTTTCGGGATCTGTGTGCAGGTTGGACAATGACCAGATGCACAGAACACCTGGCACAGATGCACAGAACACCACCTGGCAGGCGCTCCTCTTTCAACCACTGGATGCTGCGGGCCAAGATGTGACCGGCCGTGCCGTGCGCGCTTTAAGCACCGAGCTCTCCAGCTGGACCGGCGACGGTCCGAACGTGGCCGGGACGAAGAGGATGTTGGGCAGTTTTTCTGGATGTTTTCCTTTCCAACCAATCCATTCTGGGGATCTTGGGTGATTGAGTCAGCTCCTTTTTTTTGGAACTGTTCCTCCCCGAATCATCCTCAGATCAAGGGAAAACATCATGAATGTTTTTTGACTTCCTTCAGGTGACACACCTGCTCAACAAAGCGGAGACTTGGACTTTGGGCGGTGCTGCTTCAGCAGATTGGGGAGTAGATGGTGTGAAGTGAGTCGCCGCCGACCCTCTCCAAGGATCTTTTGCAGGGTGACCATCATTAAATCATTATTTTCAGTTCTCAATGAACTCGTCATAATTTGGGGCCGTGAGCCGCGCTGGGCCGCACCGCTCGTGAGCCGTCAGATCATTTGGCTGCTGTGGCTGTGTCCGGCGCGAGTGCTGGTCCGGCTTCAGGATTGGATTGTTTTTTGGGGGCTTAAGACCTGCCGCACAAGATAGGGTCTGTACGGGCTGGGAGGTGCAAAAACCTTGCAAAAGAGCGGGGTAATGTCTTATCAGTATAACCTTGATTAACAGAACCCCCCTTGCATGTATAATCATATCCAAACCTTCACTGGAAGGCATTTCGTACAACAAGACGATAAATCAGGCTCCAAAACTCTGCTACATCTTGGATTATCCCACGAAGCAGAATAGCTCGACGACCTGCACTACCCAATGGACCAGCTACGTTCCAATTCACACGGCAGATTCTTACAGAAAGGGGGAGCAACCCTCCATACCATTCGGACATGAAGCTCCCAGATCTTCGTTGCGCAAATGCCTTGGCCAAAACTTCTGGAAGTTTCGGCAGCCAACCAAGACTCATTGATCCGGCATGTTCGATATGCCATTTCCAAAAATAACCTTGACATACCTTGACTATATCACACACCCGGATGAAGGCTGAGGGAGACTTGACTTCGGACTTCCGTGCCGAGCATGGTCTCGCCATTCGGTCTCGCAGGTTCGGTGATATGCCAAGAGCACCCGTCTAAAAGACAAGGGACCCAGTGGTAACAGCTTTGGATCTGTAAGTGCACGGCCCATACGAAACTTTTCCATTCCAAATGGGCGGTTTATGAAGCCAAGACCCTACAGTTTTCCATGTGATGTGCAGACCCTCATTCGGAATCCCAGGAGACGGTCCACGCAGCCGTGAAGCTGACGAAGCAAAGACATGGCCTTGGCCGACTGCAAGCGTTGACGCGAAATATCGGACGTGCTGCTGTGGCCATTCAGGACCTGAGGGCCGAGTCCAGAGTGATGGCTTTCTGGACCACGAGCTGATTGATTCAGGCTCAAGAAAGGCATAGGTGGGATAGTCTGAGCGTGACTTGAGGCATGTCTCAACATATGACTCGTTTCCAACAACTCTTACATCCCCTGAGTCTGCTCGCCCTTCACAACTGTGGTTGAAATAAATAAGTATGGTTCTGCCTGCATGTGCCAATTTCTTTGGCACAACTTTACCTCTAGCCGCTAGCCACTACTTGCTTCGTCTTGCCCTTGCTTTATCCCGCTTTCATTTTTGCAGGATCTCGCCCGTGCCCAGAGTCATGAGCTCGGCGTCTACAACCACAGCTCCTTTGCGTGGAAAGAGCGTCAGGAGCACCTGCCCAGCGAAGCGGGGGGGTAGGCGATTGCTGCTTTTTGCTTTCCACCTGCGTAGGAATTTCACATCCAGGGAATAGAGACATATAGAGGAATAACACACCTCCCGAGCAATTCCAAGCAGGTAGTCAGGTTCCAGCGTAGGTCCCGTTCGACAGCAGCAGTGATTTTTGACTAGTTGACCAGTTGACAGCCCGCAGATCATCATCATGAAGTCATCACTTGTCACATTTTGTGACATCAATTGATAGTGGAACACTTTTGAGCCAAGAATCAGGGTCGATTGGATGCACCACCCGACACTGGTGTCGGCGAAGGCGCATCGTTTCAGGCACAGGCCTGCACATGCCACTCCATGATTCCCATGATGGGGGTCCCAGGAAACCTGTGAGAGCCTGTAAACAAGCAAATCTCTATGTGAGAGAAGTGCTTTGACTAACCATCGTCATCTGCTGGTAATGGGATACACCCATGGGTAGGATTTGGTCCAGACCGTCAGACCTGTGGAGCCGGGAGACGACCAGTCCAGATGGAACACTCCATGACATTCGACAGCGAAGGCGGAGAACGTCGGGACAATCCAACGGTGTTCTGATGTTGTTGACATCTTCCATGGCTAATCTACTCGGCTGCTGGGGTGGTATGGGGTGGTGCTTCCATTGGCTTGGCCTTTTCCAATGGCGGTCTTTCGAACCGGCGCCAACCTGTCGACCTCGCCGAACCTGCTCCGCCAGGAGCAGCTGTTGAAGTCCTCCGTGGATCGCTTTGAGGGCGACGCTCTCTTCCGTCCCGAGCTCAAGCGTCGGGGCGCGCCGCTCGGGGGTCGGCCCAACCCGTCGGAAGAATTGGACGGTGGCGAGGTCAGCCGATTCCAGTTTAGGGCGTGACGGCTGCTTCAAGCTTCCAAATGTCTCGAAACACAGCAGGACAATGCAGGACATAGGACACCGTCAACATGGCCAACGTGGCTTCTTTCTTCGCCTTTCATTTCTCATTTCCGTCCCGTTAACAGAAAACCATTGAAGACCACGTCTCCGAGCGCACCCGTCTCCGAAAAAAGAATCCACGAGATCTTTAGATCTCAGACCTCGGGTGATCTCAGACCTCAAAGCCTTGTTGAACCTGAAACGCGACGTGTCTGAACGTGACGTCAGGTGACGTGGGCAGTGTTGGTGCCTCACCAGTGCTCTTGGAGCTGGATAGTACTTGGTGGTCCTTGAGAGCGACGTTGGATAAGTACTTGAGCTGCTTGACCATCTCAAGCGACATCAGAACAGGTTGGTGTTGGGACTTTTTGTGTGCCTGGGTGTGGCGACGCACCGGGTCGTTGAACTGGGGGGAGCCGTTATTTTCTTTCTTTTTTTCCCGGAAGATCCCGCAGGCTGTATTCTGTTCATTCTTGGGTGTGAACTGACCCCAGGCCCCAGAAATAGGAGTACATGGTTGCACCCACCATAAAATAGACATACACATAGATTCGTGTTTATATACTCTCGCATAAACCCCAGATAGCAAAAGATATTTGGTCGGCAGCACCCAAGCGCTTTTGTTTTGATTCGGTGTAGAAGTGATCTGTGATTTTGCACATGTACCAAAAACAGCACGAGTCCCTCGACCATGCATGCCTATTGACTGTGTACCAGCTGAAGAGTCGACGCGGTCAGTCACTGTGTGGAATTTGATGCATTCTCTGAAGCAAAACAACAAGTTTTCAGCTGACGCACAACAAGCATTCCAAGTGAACGCGCCGAGGCCACACATCAACAAGTTTTGAATCTTGTGACATACCAGCCCTCCAGCAGCACCAGCACCAGCACCCAAGCTCCAAAGTGTGCACACGGCCATACACATCCGCCACACTTCGCAGCGGCACCAGCACCGCGGCTCCAATTTTGCGCGCACACACCAGGAACCTGTTCTAAAGAGGCTCATCTTAGGCCAGGTAAAGAATGGTAGTAAAATGACAATATGATGACCTACCATTGGGTGGAATCTCACCTGATGTACCTCACCATTTGACCATTTGGTGTCTCACCTGATGTACCTCCATGGCATCCTGGACCTTTCCCCACCTCGGTGGACCGACGGATCCGAGGCTCGGCCAAGAGATATGCACAGGCCATGGGAGAGGCGGGGGCCGGACCCGGCGGAGCACGCGGCGGAGCACGCGCCGTGACTGGAGGGACGGCAAAGGTCTGTCAGACGCGACCCGGGTGGAAGAAGTACATGATCACACTCACGGCCATGGACGGCCCACACAGATGGGTCGTTGTTGTTGGGGCTCCGATCGCGTTGTCTCTGGCGGCCGGGTGTGTTGGAGCGGGTGCCGCGAGGGGAGCGGGGTGCCGCGCAGTTTTTGCCAGCAAGAGATCCAGCAGGGGGGGGGGGCCAAAACTGCGAGTCCAGTACTTAGTGACTTATTGTTTAGGTGCCTGACAATTGCCGGATTCTACGGGACAAAAAGCAATGCCGCTTCGAAAAACACCGCTTTGGAGGTGGCGAGCATGCTTCAGAGCTACACGTCATGCTCCATTCAGTATGCTCCAGTGCACGGGAGCTTCTCGCACTTGATGAAGGCAGAGAAAGAGCATCGGAGACTTGGTGTTCGTTGAAAGCAGCGGGGACGATCTGTTTGGCTTTCTTTTTGGCGACCTGTTTCAATTGAAGGAGAGTTTGATCCACACGCGTTTCAATTGAACAATTGCCTGGCTAATGATCCTGTTCCTTTCGACCATTCGACTTCTCACTTGAATATATAAACAGGCCGGTGACTGAAGGGACTATAGCGACATCTAGTGACTGTATATTGATACTTGGCACCGTAAGGCTCTTGGCATCCCAACCGCCACTTTAGTTGAAATCGCCTGTTAGGCTGTTTGTTCTTGTGGGCGTCTCGACGCTCAAAGAACCTCAGCCCTCCGTATGGAAAGACCGTGGCTTTAGAGGAACGGTTTCACTCAGGAAGGCTTTGGATGAAGCTTGGTCCTCTGCCGTGCCGATGACTGGGCTTTTGGTCTCCAAGCTGGTGGACAGCAACGCCTTTGTGAAGTTGAGCATTGAAGATGCCAAGGTGACTTGGTGCTTTTCGGCTTGTGACTTGCACCAGCAAGGGCCACCATGTATTCAAACTTGCATTCTTGGCGCTCACGGTGGTTTGCTTGAGGATTCTTGGTACCAGTGATTTGTTGAAGAGTTGGCCTTGTGGATTCACCGGGCTGGCCCGCTTCCGACCCTGATTTCGCCGGGTTCTAGCGATGTTTCAGTGCCTAGCCTTGTGCCCTCCCTCAGAGCCCAAGAGCATGTGTGTCATGTGTGTGTGGGTGACATTTCAGCATAGGTAGTGAACGATTGCCATGCGTAGGCGCTTGAGTAAGTATTGGTGGCCTGTGAGGCTGAAGATGGGAACAGGGACTTGTGGCAGCCACATGCCAGGGAAAACCACATCTCATGTTGAAGCTCTTGTCCATGTTAGGGAGGGGTGGCTGGGGCAAGATGGCAAGGCTAATCAATCCTCAAACACTTCCGGTGACCGGAAAACGCTGTAGTCTCGGTAGTCTCAGTTGTTCAGCCTGATCAGCCGCATCGATGCCGCATCGATGCCGCATAAATAGCACCCCTCTTTCGTGATCACGAAGACGAATGCTTGCGGCTGCCTATGAGCTCAGGCTGCCTATGAGCTCCTGCATTCTGAGAAGCAGCTCTGCAACGAGCCCGGCGAGTCTGGTGCCAAGCGAGCCGGCCAGGTGCTCAATCAGACTTTGCAGCAGGGCTTGGTGGGGCAAACAGAGAGGCAACTGGCGACCTTGTTCCAGGACCCCCGAGACCACTCGCATTGCGAAAGCACGAGCTCGATGGGCGATTGGGTAGGAAGTAGCATGGAAGGGGATGGCATTGGTGCGCCTTGGAAGGCGATGTTTTGCCACAAACGGCCCTTTTTCCTTGCAAGTTTGTTGGATAGATAAAGAGATTCCTTTGTACGGTACTCCTCCCGCGATTTCATCGACAAGACCTGTGGCAAGCTGCGTGTGGCAAGCAGGACGAGGACCAAATAGAACTCATTAAACAGCCTTCAGACGAGCTGCGCGTGGCAGCTTAGCATCACCCAGGGAGGTGTTCGTAACGTCGCTCCGCATTGGTCGAAGTGCGTTACTAACGCCAGCAGCTGCAAGAGTTCGATCTCTTTCCGAGAATTGGACAGGGTCATCTAGCATGAACATGCATAAATCATCGCCCATTTCAGTCCGAGTAGCGGCCCCCGACGACCACCTATTTCAGCTGTGCGTGCACATGAAACCTTTTTTGGATGAAGAAGAATGGTGCTGGCGCCGTTTTCGTTTTCGATGGACCCCCTGCGGCCGTGCGCCAGCGAGACCTCCAGCACCTCGCCATCAGGAGCTTCATCTGTTGCAGGGGCGGCTGCCCCCCTCGTCGGACGCGGAGAATGCGGACGTGCTGCAGCAAAGCGCGCTCCGGGCGCAATATGCCATCAGGGCGGCCCGACCCTTTCACCAGGCAAGGCCGGGGGGGGGAAGCTAGCCAGATTTTCAAGTTGTGTGATTTCGTTGGGTTGGAACATGTCCAACTAAAAGACAGAGTTGCGGAAGAAAGTTGAATTTTCTAGGTCCCACTGTGCGGGTCCCTCTGAAACCCGCCGAGTCGGGCCGCAGTGCCTCCGGCGTGGCCTGCATGTAGGCCACGAAGCTTGGGGGTTGCTGCCTTTCATCACCTGAGTTTAGAACTCTTCCAATACAGGGCTCATAGTGCACCAGGTCGGCCAAAAACCCAACGTGAGGCCCTGGCACATCAAAGCCTCCGGATGCTGTGTGACTCACGTGAGAAGTGACACGGTGCCCAGTGAGAGAGCCCAGTGAGATGCGCGTACGGCGCGATGCCCGGGCAGTTCATGATCGAAACAACTATTAGGATTATATATTAGGCTTGCGTTCGACCATGAATAGAAGAGTTCACCTGGCTTCGTAGTCTTCAACGGTGCTATGTGATTGCTTGCTTCAAGGCCAAACAAGATCAACTCGCTTGTACGCCCGGAAAGGCGCCTTGCTTGTACATGTGGACAACGACTCGCTCGTACCACATGCATGCGACATACCAGCGCTGGAAGCCACCAGAATGGCTGCAGCGACATACCCACAATTGGTCCGTTTGGATGCGGTGCCCGCCGTGAAGAGAACGAAGGCAGATCGTCTAAGGCGTCAGGTCGTCCAAGGCGTCAGGTCGGTGTTCGGCGAACCACACGGTGGTGAAGGCATTTCTGTGCCTCGGACATCCGTAGCAGGTCCTTGGTGGGCCAACTGAGCGGGGTAAATGGAGAGGACGGGGCCTTTCCGACCTCGCCGGCCTTTTGTGTTCTATGCGAGGATCAAATTTAGAGCAGGAGGCCCTCCAAGGCGCCCCCACATGCAGGTTTTGGCGCAAGTGAGTGCGCAGGTGAGTTGACTTTTGCGTGCGCGATGGGGCATCACCCCTTCAGAGTTAGATCGTGTGCACAGCGGGGGTGCCGTGGGAAATCCAGGGAAAATATACTGTTGTAAAGTACACTCCATGTACTTGAGGTTCAGCTGTCAATTTGTGTTTTCCGAATCCTTTCATCCGCCAGAGGGCGGGTACTCAAGAGCTCCAGCATCGGCCGCGGAAAAGAGAGATCTCGTACGCTCTCTTTCGTTCTGGGGAACTTCGTGTGTCTTCAGACCCTGCTACCACCGCAGTTGCATGGTAGCGGAGCCCCAACCGGGGCTCCAGACACGCTACCGCTGCGCACTCCACTTGCACAACAACACCTCACTGCACACCACTCCACAGACACGACTGCTCCAACAACCATGGCTGGCACCGCGACCTTAGACACCACCAGCCTGTGGGATAGCTTTATCCCACAGTTTGACGGCCAGCCACAGTCCTACAGAGAATGGAGGAAGAGAATAGCAATATACCACCACAAGATGACCCTCCAGAAAAGATCCGGTGAGAGCCTGCTCAACCTCATCGGAAGCTTGCAGGGTGCTGCATGGAAAGTCGTTGAAGACTACGATCTCAAGAAGATCGAAAAGGAGGGAGCCTTCGATGAGTTGATGGGCATGTTGGATAAGGCTTTTGCCTATGACGGCAGAGTTCAAATGCCGCAGGATTTTGAGAACTTCTTCACCCACAACCTGCGCAAACCTGGCTCCACACTTTTGCAATTCTGCACAGAGTTTGATGAGAAACTTCGACGCCTTCAAGCTCACGGCGTGAAGTTGCCGACAACGGTGCAGGGCTGGTTTCTTCTCAAAAAGGCCAATGTGACCAGGGAGCAGCGACAACTTGTGCTCACTCATGCACCCGGCCTCAAGAGAAACAAGGTTCAAGAAGCCTTGTACTTGTTTCTTGGCCAGGATCACAAAGCAGCCGTGGTTCCTGAACGTCGTCAGTTCGGACGAGGTAAGGGGCACAAAGCCTTTGTGGCTGAAGAAGGCTGGGGTGACCTCGATGAAGCCTTCTACCAAGAAGATTACGGCTGGGAAGATGACTATGAGGCTCCGACCATCGAGTCCTGGCAGGATGATGACTTCGGCTTCGATCAAGAGGCCGGCTACTACCAGTACGACAATGAGCATGAGGATGAGGAAGAAGGTTTCGTCGCCACCTCTGATGGCCCCTGGGACATCGATGAATATGACTCAGCCTACGCCAGCTACCTGGATGCCAGAAAGAGATTTTCAGATTTGAAGTTGAGTCGAGGCTACTTGCCCATAGTTGCCTTGCAAGATGACGCCAACCCATCCTCGACTCCCAGTTCTCCACAGCGCCCCCACAAGGGCAAGGGTCCTCGAAAAGGGAAAGGCGGCAAAAAGGGCCGCTCCAGCACCATCAAGTATCCCTCTCGACCGGGAGGGAAGGCTCCAGATCCCAAGGCTCGTTCATTCGCAGCCATCCAGTGTCTGCGCTGCGGCGCATCCGGCAACATGGCCGCCAACTGTCCAAAGAAGGGCACCTCAACGAGTTCCGGTCCTTCTGTGGTCAATTCACCAGCCAAGCGACAACACACGGAAGGCATGGCCGCAAACACCACCCCCATAGATGAACATGGTCATGTGATTTTTGAGGATCTCCAAGGTCGACAGCGTGTTGATTGCACCATGATCGACCCTGGTGCAAGTGCCTTCCTGATGGGCACCGGACCGTTCGAGCGCTACATCCAACACCTTCAAGAGCTGCAGTACCCAGTTGATGACATCCAGATGACTTCCATCAAGCGTGTCTTTCATTTCGGTGGAGACCACAGTGTGAGTTGTCATTGGAAAGCTAGACTGCCTGTGTTTTTCAACCACAACTATGGCTATGTCACTGGATTTGTCATCCCAGGTGAGACGCCTATGTTGATGGGTCGCCCTATCCTTGAGGCTCTTGGTTTGACGCTCAACTTCCAAAAGAAGGTGCTGATGTGGGAAGACTCTCCATGGCAGGACATCACCATTGGTCGACATGGGGAATACTTGTTGCCTCTCACAGCCGACTTCCAACCTGACATGCTCACTCGGCCACCGGCGTTCGACCTTGTCCTGGCAGATTCCGCCCTCCACGAGGATGTTGAGCCCTTCACCGTGGATTTCAAGACCTACAAGAGTCAGGAGGGGGTCTCTCAGGACGCCGGTCAGACGCCAGTGGCAGAGGGGAGCCGGAAGATCGTGCTGAAAGACTGGAAGCGCATTGACCATGCGCTCAACCACACAGAGCGCCAACTTCAGGCCATGGTTACTTCGGAACTTCATGCTCCACCCCGACCACGGTTGATTTGGGAGGTCTATGCTGGCGCCTCCAGAGTGTCAGCAATCGCAGAAACGTTGGGCTGCAAAGTTGAAGTTTTTGGATATGAGACCGGTTGGGACTTCGATGACCCCTCACACAGAGCAGCCTTTCTTCGCAAACAGCAGGAGGAACTCCCTGATGAGATTTTCCTGGCTCCCAAATGCAGTCTGTGGAGCAAGATGCAAGCTCTGGCAGCCAACACGCCCGAGCGAAAGGAAAAGTTGCAAGAAGAACGCCAATGGCATCATGATGTACATCTTCGTTTTGTCCGGCAGGTTTACCGCCGACAAGTCCTTGGTGCTCGCCATGCCCATTTGGAACAACCCAAAGAAGCCTTGTCTTGGTACACCAAGGCACTTCAGAACTTGCCAGGCTATCATGTGGTTTTTCATCAATGTGCCTACGGTGCCTGTTGCAAGGACATTGACAACAGTTGGAAGCTCGTTCTCAAACCTACAGCCCTTCGCACCACAAAGAGAGCTATGGCACAATCGATGAACTTGTTGTGTGACAAGAGCCACACTCATTGCACCTTGGAAGGACGCATGCCTGGTGGACGCCTTCGCACCAAGTACCTTGAGGACTATCAGCCGGCCATGGCATCAGTCCTTGCTGTAGCCCTGGCTGCCGAAGAGACACCCAAGGCTTGGAACCAGGCCTACACCCTTGAGGACAGTCAGCCAGTGCGCTCACATCAAGGACGCCTCATCCAACTTTTGACGACCAACAAACAAGAAGCTGTTCGTGTGGTCCAGAAACTGCATAGAAACCTTGGCCACCCAAGTGCTGAGAAGCTCACCGACCTTTTGGAAGTCAGAGGCGCTTCTCCTGAGGTTCTTGAAGTCGCACGTCAATATCATTGTGCCACCTGTGACATGTTCAAGAAGCCTGCACAAGCATCTCCGAGTTCGGCCAAAGTGGTCACAACCTTCAACGATCAGCTACAGTGTGACGTGTTTTGGATCAAGAGTGGACAAAACAAGTTTCCAATCCTCTCCATGATTGATGCAGCCACCAAATGGCAAGCCGCCACCTTGTTGCAAGCTGAGAGGGGTGACTGCTTGATCGATGCTCTTCAGCGTTGTTGGCTTGCTCTTTTTGGTCCTCCTGCTCAACTCATCACTGACGAGGGAAGAGGTTGGCTTTCAGATGAGTTCACTCGCTTCACTGATGAACTTGCTCTCCAACACACCGTTGCACCTGGTGAAGCGCATGAACGATTGGCATTGGTCGAAAGACGCCACGCTGTTCTTCGCAAAAGCTGTGAACATGTACTTGCGAGAAACTGCTCAAGAAGGAGGTTCTGCAATCCGAGAAGCCCTAGTCTATGTGGTTCCACAGTTGAATGCTCAGCCAAATGCTTCTGGCTACAGTCCTTCTCAATGGCTTTTGGGTCAACAGCCCCACTTTCCTGGAGACCTTCTCAACCCTCATTTGTCACCACTTCACCTAGAAGGCTCCAAGGGCTTTGAGGATGAGCTGCAAAAGCGAGCAACTGCTCGCATGGCCATTGTGCAGACAGACATCGATCGCCGTCTTCGGCGAGGCCTCCTCCGAAAGTACTTCGGCGCCAGCATTGTTTTCCAGCCTGGTCAACTTTGCTACTACTGGCGAGATGCCAGAGCGGCTGACCTGGTCAAGGTCAGATGGAAAGGCCCCGCAAGAGTCCTGATGCGAGAAGATGGTGACGATGGCAAACCCTGTCTCTACTGGATCAGCCACAAGACCCAGTTGCTCCGTTGTGCACCTCATCACCTACGACCAGCCTTGGAGAAAGAGACTGACACCCTGATCAACGGCATCCAAGAAGCAAAGAAGGCTATGTCAGAGCTGAAGAGCAGAGGAGTCACCAGACTCTTGGATCTCAATGTGGTCAACCGACGTCGCATCGAAGACTTAGAGTCGGAAGAGGAAGAGATTGAACAAGAATTGGAAGAAGAAGAGGAAGACTTGCAGCCTCCTTTGCAAAGACGCCGACTTGAAGCACCAATTGGTTCCCCACAAGCTGTAGCACCTGCGCTCAATGATGCCACTCAGCCT